ACAGAAATTCAGTAGCACTGTAGGATTTCCATTTAACCTGGGCTGTAGGAACTCAGGCATTTGTTCCCATCACCTTAAGGCTTCCAGTAGCCCAAACAGGAAGGAGCTGCATGAGCAGGGCTGTGGAGAAAGCCTGTGCTTTCGAGAGCTGCCACCACTGCCTTCTGCAGCACAGACCTATTCTGATCCACGTTAGCTGTGAAACCTGGCTGACAGCCCAAACTGGTAATCCTTCAAGCAATGCAGATTTTCTGGTTCAAAGTGAGTGTTCCTGTCTTCCCATTTTCATGCTTTAAAAGCCTCCCTTTTTAAATCAGGGTTAAATCACAAACAAACAAATGCTAATAGAAAAGTTCACATGCATAACCCCTGCAGTGTATTTACCTATGTAAATAACATGTAATTTTCACTATTTAATTACTGTTTCATGTCCCATTTCCTGCTATAGTCTATATTTAAATTGCATATTTACCTCTATCTACTTTCTCATAATGTGTCTTGATATGAATATTCATGCCACCATTGAGTGGTTGATTACTTCTGTGCTAACCTTGAAAATACATCCCTTGCAACACAGCAAAAGCCGGGTGCTGTGGTCGTATAACAGCAAAGAAAAGAAAATACAATAAATAATGCTCAGGCTGTTTGGGATCAGCTCATATTCTCCTTTGTTTTTTTCCTCAGCAGGTATTTTTTTCTCTTCATATAAATTAAGCCAAGTTCCTTCTGACTATAGTTCCCTGAATTATAACTCTGGAGACCAGATTTCCATAGAAAAGGAGTAGAGCAAGTAATAGGCAGTGCAGAATTCCTGCCCATGGTACAGCTTTTTCAGATGGGAGAGAAAAACAGTTCCTCTTGCAGCTGGGTGCACATTTCTTTTTAATTATGTGAAATTTGAAAGAGTGTTCCTATTGTTCTAAATCAGAAAACAGTCTGGAGGAGTTATCTGAGGACAAAAGAAGGGAGCAAGACCAACAGAATTAAGCCTGATGAAGTAACATGGAACCAGTCTGAATTTGAGCTTATATACATTATGACTGGTTTATATCATGAAACTTTGATGTTCAATTTATATTTCAAAACAAAGGCTTTTTTCTCTTTTTAGATGAACAGAACACATTAATTTGGAAAATGAATTAAGAGACATTTTTTCAACCTTTCTCTGTTTCATAATTCAAGATAAATGGAGAGAAACAGGCTAATTTCCCCTGATTTCTTTTGTACTTTAATCCCTTGGATGGAATGGGCCATGGCCTGGCAAAGCCTGTTTCCCCCCCGGTGATTATGGAGAAAATCTAGAGTCACTGTGAGCCTGTCAAACACAGCCAGGTGTTTCCTGGGCTGGGAGACTCTCCATATGCAGGACTATTATTGTGACAGAAAGACAGGCTTGCAGGTGGTGGGAAAGGGAATTATCTTATGACAATGTCATCTTGACATGTCAGCCACATATAAAACAGCCTGTCACTCTTCTAGCCCTCCTTTACCTTCTTTTGAGCAACACCTGCACACCTCAGTTTCCCCATCCTGCTCAGTTCATCTCCTTGAGGTTGGCTTAAAGATGCCTGCAAGCAGCTGCTGCTCACCCTTGGAGAACTGAGCTCACAGCCAGGTAACCTGTCCTGCTTTTCTGTTTGAGATGAACACATCACTTTAGTCTACACCGCTTATACCTTCACCTCTAGGGGTGTCTTCTATGCATCTTCACACCTAAGGCATCATTCCCTGACAGCTTTGCAGTTATGACTCAGTGACTTCAGAGATTTCCAGCCTACAGAAGAGTGAAAACAGGTCTGAGGTATGAATTTACTTCTGTGAGAAGCCAGGGGGTGTCTCCTACTGAGACACGATTTTATTTCATGGCCTGGGGGGGTTTATCACACACTATGGAGTGGTTCAGGAAGTGAGTTACAGCAGCTGAAATCATGCAAAAAGTTTAGGCTGAGATGGATCTTCACCTAATTAATGCCCAGGGATTGAGAGTTTCCTCAGCTCTGTTATATCTCTGCTGTCTCCATTGCTGCCTGTAGAAGGCTCTTTGGATCTGCCCAGTGATGCAGCCCCACAGAGGCCAAATATATTCATTCACATTAAGAACACAAATGGACACAATCAGCATGGCAAGATTTTGATATGGCAGCCTTTCTCCTGGGTCCTTATCATCACAATTGTTACAGCACTGGCTAAGGACCAGGCTAAAATGCAGCCCTGCTATTCCACATGTGGGGGTTTTGTGGAAGGAAAGGTGGACAAATGTGCCCTCACCATCAGTGCCCATTGTTGAAAATCACATCATAATAACTTCATTTTATGGACAGGTCAGAGCATTCTTGGCTGAGGACCACTTCTTTCCTACACAATACTTTTAAAGAGTTCTACTGGGAGAAAAAAAATGTAAAAAGAAAAATACAATTGCCAAAGTTACTAAATTAGATAATTCTTACATAACATGCTGTCATTTTTTTTTAATCTATGCAGGCTGTATCTTGCTCTTTTACATAGTTCAAAGTTGAGGTGGACAAAGTTTAAGTAACTCCATAAGGAACAGCAGGAAACTATGAGAACCCATAACTGTTCTGAGCTTTAAATAAGTTTCATCTTTAATGATTCTGCTCTGCCTCCAAATAAACTGAAAAATGACTAGAATCTAAAGCTTATTTAGGAAGTTGCCATAGTAACAATTAACTACCTCTAAGCCCTTCAGCTTTATCTTTTTTCACTGAGGTGCCCTAAATTACTTGAATCCTGAATTGCTACAGTAATATATCCATGTCTTTGAACTAAATGACATGGTTTTGCTAGAACCCTCATTATGTGAATATTGATTGAATTTCTAATTGGGACTAGACATCATCTTGCTGACAGCATCACTGCAAGAAGCCATGTAAGACGAAGGAAGATTACAAAAAAAAAAAGGAAAAAATAGGAATGTTGTTTCTCTAGGGAAGCAGCTGGGATGATCAAACCGGGGAAGCAGTGAATGAAGTAGAATTAACTTTAATGATTGATTTTATATGGACAACAAACCTCCTCCAGATGCAGTGCTGCTTGTTTCAGCTATTATCCTCTTAGACTCTACTAAATAAAAAATATCAGAGGAACCCAAAGAGACTGACTTTGACCTGTGAATTAAATAATTGTTCATTACAATGCAAAGGGCCTATTAACCCTAATTATTCTAATTTAGGTGCATTTTCCACTCACTTGGTCATGACATGGGCAGTCCTTATACTATAAATTGTTTCATGAAATGTTGTGCCCTCTATTTTTCATTATTTTGCCTGTTATCATTTGACTTTATCCACAAAAACCAAGCATTTACCCCCTATTTCTTAAACAAGATTCAAGCCTGTAGCATTAACACACGCTGCTATTCTCATATCTGTTCTTCATTCATGTATTTCAAATTGCTCCTGCTTGTTTTCTGCATAGCCCTTATTTATTTTTTGCTCCAGAAAAGGAGTTCATTTTCATCTCATGGGATCTTTTTACCATGTTTCCCAAGTGAAAGTGGGAAAACAACACTTATCCACAGCATTTTTCAAACAGGAAGTAGTCTTCCTTACATCAGATAACTATGAGCATTAAATGACAGAAATTGAACTTTAAAGGAAGTAGAGGAAAATAATTCCCAATTTCACTTGCTGTGCCTTTACTAATGTCAGTCCTAAGGCAACAAGGAAAAAGCAGATGACTTTACTACTGCTTTGAAGAAAACAATATTCATCTGGATTACCCTTAAACCTGTCCTGGGGTTTAATAATCACTTTAACTGCAGATAGCTTAAAAGGAATAGCTTGATGCTGGTTTTGTATTATTTTCTCCATGTCTGAAAAGAATCTCTGTGAGTCTGCTGAACGCCTTTTTGATAATAAAAGAACAATATCCTAAAGCAAAGATGTTAGCTTCATTCCTATATCTGACAAAAATAAACAAAATCATGCAATGCAAATAAAATCTGGAACAAAAGGGTAAGATATGGTCATTTCTGAACCAGAGAAAATGATTCAACAGCAGTAGATCTTTTTGTCTGCACTGCAGTTCTCAGAATTTTCATAATTTACATAACTAAGAGATGTTTGGCAGCTCAGCCTTGTAATTCACAAGGAAATAGCATCTGGCTATTTAGACTGTTATATTGACCTTGGAGGGCTTCCTGTACATATTTTTCTCCTGCAAAAATGCCTATTGCTATCACATAAAGCAAAATAGCAGTGACACCAGTCTTCAGAACATTACATAGCATGAAGTAGATCCAGTTCCTGGGCCATGCACTCAGCATAGGACAGGAAAGACACATGGCCTGGCTGGGTGAGGGGAGTTTTCAGCCACAGCTGCACTGTATCTTGAAAGGTGCTAATTTGAACACTACAAAAAGGTATCTCTCACCCTCACACATTCCAGCTAAATCACCCTTCTCTCCCTTATTAGTCAGCTACTTGTTTCTATCTCCTCTTACTGTTTTGCTAAAATTGTTCTAACAGAGTGTACCTGCTAGGACAGGGTAGCTGGAGGTGGCTGACTGTGACACATCTGACTTGAACTACAGGTACAATGGATGAGTGGAAGAGGGAGAGCCACTGGGGCCAGGGACAGTGTCATTGTCCCTGTGGCACTGGCTGTGGCCATCACTCACTGACCAGCAGCAGGCTGCCTTATTGACAAGGGCTTGAGCTGGGCTGGCAGGGCTGCAGAGTACAAGCACTGTCTCCTCAGTGGGTGCTCAAGGACATGTGGGGCTGCAAGTGGCTCTGAACACACTGACCCCATGTCAGCCAGCAGGTGAGTGAGTGGCTGCCCCCTCTCAGCAGCACTGGGACAAGCATCACAGCCAAAAGGAACCTTCTGTGAGGGCAAATCAAAGGGGAACAGCTGAAGGGCACCTGTAACACACACGAATCAGCAGCAATTTTCAGAAATGGTTTCTGATAGTATTTCCCCTTCTCCCTGGTTTTCTTCCCAGGATGGACATGCCATATTTTCTGAAAATATCTCACCTTGGAAGAACTTCTTACTACGGGCAAGCAGCCACCGCATCTTTAGGTCTTTTGGCCCTGGTTCCTGATGCTGTCTGATGCTCTGTCCTCCTTCCCCTCTGCTCTTGTGGCTCAGTGGGAGGGGGATTTACCAGTCCTTTCCTCTGAGACCTGTGTGGTAGCAGAACAGACAAGCATCACAGCCCCAGAGACTGCCCACACCTTTGTTTCTGTGACCACCTGCATGGAGGCTCTGTCTCCCTGACTCTTCCTCTGTCTGCTCTGCCTTTCCTGGACAAGCTGCATGTGGCCTCCTCAGTGTGCCCCCCACACCCCAACATGTGGTGCTCAACACAGAACCTGGATATACAAACATAGCACATACTTTTTTTTATACATATGCTTCATTTGTTCAGCCTGTTTGATTCACACACATTGATTCATGCATTTACTTTCCTTGGAGATATTAATACCAGCTCATACATACAGAATGAGAGAAGAAGTAGCAATAGCATCGAAATCGGCCTGTAACAGATGTTAGTGAAGATAGTTATGATGTCTGCCTGGCATACATCTTTGTTTCTTGGGTGATGTGAGTGGTGAGAGAAATAGAGAGAAATAGAGGAGAAGGAGAGAGAAGGATTGTAAACCTGAGGTGTATGTCTGGAAATGAAACAATTTTGTACATTCATTGCTTCTGTCTGGAGAGGAGCCATCTTAAAACTATGAATTACACTGTGAACCTGAGGAGAAAAAGCTATACCTTTGATTTCTTGCAGAAACGTGTTGGGGTTTTTCTACAGTGAGCAGAAAGCAGAGTGTGCTTTCAAAAGTAACTGGCCTCAGTTACAAATGGAACCAACTGTTAGAGTCCAGCTGAAGCCTGGTGCTATGAGGCAAAAGGCTCAGTGAAAACCTAGTTTGTATCTTCAATGAAAATAGTGAATTTTAGACAAATGCACAAATATTTTCCTTTGCTATTTGTGAAAGGATATTTGCATATTACCAAGGAAAGCACTTATACTTACTAGACATGAGAGATGCAGTAAATGAATGACTGGTTGTCAAAAATCAAAAGTGATGGTTGGAATCACTGGAGTACAGAATTTCTTTCTCTTTTTTCCTTACCCCTTGGCTGCCCTTACTTCTGCAGTTCTCAAATCCAGCATAATGGGATAACACCACAAACAGGTGCCTGGTATCTACATTGCAAAGATATTTTTGCTCTGTAAGTTTAATTATGAATGGCCAATATATGTAAGCCTTGAGGGCAAGGTTTTTCTTCAATGTAATTTTGCATCCTATTTAAAAAATGAAGTATTACAGTGGGAATAAACATATTCATGATTCAGGAAAACTTTGGGCACATATTCAGTAGAACACTTCCTAGATTTGGGCTATATGCCCCTCCCTGTTCAAAGTATGTCTGTTCAGAGATATGCTTCAAGGTCATAAAATCCAGAAGGAATTAAAAATCTGCCAAAATACTTACCTAAGAAGGCATTCTTTGGAAGTATTGTGCTGAGGACTCTCAAAATAAAAATGTTTGGCTGTCACTTATTGAGGTATTTGCAGTTTCACATCCCTCAAAACAATCCACAAGATGTCCCACTAAGGTCCATAGCTTTTGGAGCCAAACTTTAGCAACCAAGTGTTTAAGAACATTATTAACATAAATGACACATCTCAGAGGAATCAAAGGCATCTCAAATATTAAAAATTGCTGACAGGATACAGGCACCAATAGGTGCTTAAGAGCTTTGCTGTGTCTGAGTGTGAGGAATTGTGTTGCTAACCAAGCAGAGGAAGTTTGTTTTTATAGCAATTTGCTTGGAAATGGTCTGTTTAAATAGAGTTCCTGGGCTGAATCAGTAAATACTTTAAGAGGGTACTTATTCTGCTTTTAACACCCAGGAATTTCAGTATTTGAACAGGCATTTTGCAAACTGCAGCCATTGCTTTAGCTCAGAGCATGCAGCTCAGTACACTGACATGGAGATAACGTGCCACTCACATGAGCAGCTCCATCACTTCCCTGCATTTCCAAAGGCATCCCCAGCTGAAGCACATCATCATGCTGTGCTCATGAGTTAATAATCAGAGCTAGATTTGAAGGAGTCGCTCCCATTTAGGCACAGCCTGGAGCATTTCTTCAAAAATTCATTATAAGGATCTGCATGCCATTTTCCATGTGCTTTGAATCAAGGCTTGCACACATCTGAGCTCATCCCAGATCAGGGTCAAATAATCTTGAGATGCTGACATTATAACCCTGGACACACTGCACAAGTACCTTAGTAATTCCTTGTTCATATTTTCACATATATAGATTTCTATTCACAACCCTAGTGACTGTGTATACATAGGGCTAGATAGATTGTCAGACTCACCTGAGAGGATGTGATTTATGTTGGTATGTGTCTCTAGACATACCACAGTCAAGACAGCCACAATACACAGAATGTTACCATACAATTTCAGAAGGCTTCAGCCCAAACAGAGTAGCACCTTACCTCATCAGAAGGCTTCAGGCATCTGCCCATACAGAGCAACATCATTCCACTAAAGAAAGCTGCAAGCATCTGCCCTTCTGGCTCTTTAGCCCAGCCTTTTATCCCCTCCTGTTGATGCACTGCACCTGTGTGCCCTCTGTTCCTTTTGGTGGTTGGTCAGCGCCCCTGGGCACCCCATGGCTCATTGCTGTCAATGCTGCTCACCTGGTCCTCACAGCTGCACCCACTGGGGATGAGGCTCCCACAGCCCCACCCCATTAACACAAACTGTGTGCCTAAAGGTGTGGATTGCCTTCCTCCAAGTCAACAGTAGTTCCCAAGACATTACACATATTAATCTCAAAAAGATGCTGCTCCTCTCCCTGGGGAATGCTGTTTTCCATACTGCTTCACATGGTAAACCCCACTGTCTGTTCCAAGCAGGAAAGAAGCTCAAGGAAGAGAGTGAAAACTGATCCATGATAGACTTGCTGGATTATTTTCTTTTTTTTTCATGGCTTGTCCCCACAGTGGATGCTACCAACTTAAATTTAATTCCGTATTCTAATTTTCATTCTCTTAGTTACACATAGATGGTAAATAAATGCTTCCCAGGGAATCAAGTGAGTCTACTGAGACTTGAACACCTGTTGCTAAATATAGATGAACAGTAACTCAAAACTGATATTAGTAGAAAAAATATAGTGGCAAGATAACTACATAACAAAGCAGATCTTAAATCACATTGTATCTTTAGTTGTCTTGGACTGCATTAAGGGAAGAGTTTGGAGACAGAACGTTTCTCTCTTTTCCTGTTCTACCTCCCACAATTCTCTATAGTGGTGACTGACCCTTCATAACTTGGAATTTATAGTAACAGCTGTGTGGCAGATAATCACTTGAAGAGGAAATGGAGGCTGGCAAATTTTCTAGAACAACAAAGATAAAAAGATTTCCAGGTCAGCACACTCATGAGATTGCTATATTAACTGGGAATCTTGGAAAAGAGAAAATCCAAAGTGGAGTCTTGCTGGGGTTTCTGCTGAAAGGGAATTAATTTTAAAAAATCATATAATGTTTACATTTAACATTGCTTAGCTAAGAACCCCTTTACAGACACTCTTTTCTGGTGTTGCCTTGCAAGGATATTATGGTTGCTATTGGAAGAATTCAGGTAAAATTCTGCTGTTCAGTGTATTGCTGTTGATAATCGCTGCTTTATTTATAAAGAATAATTATCTCAGTGTGCAAATATATTCAACATGGACCTCTCTCACTCCTCCTATTCATACTCCTTAGTGTCAAATACAGCTTTCGAACTCTCCCTGTTACAGAGCACTCCAGTTTCCTCTTTTTAAATTTGATTTTGGCAAGCTGTACTTAAAACTCATGTTCCTTTTGATGTTGTACACTCTACAAAATGGACCATTCAATAACGTTTGGGTTTAGAAGGTTTCACAGTCTGCACAAAGTAATCCAGACAGAACAAAGAAGTAACCATCCAGAATTCTGATGACACACTCCTGAGTGGATTTTCCCCTGTGGGGAGGTTCATATTTCATACAAATTCAGAGGTTCCAGTAGTATTTGAGGTATCAGCAAATCAGAACTATGCCAAAAATCAATCCATTTCACTGTGAGTAACAACAGAACTTGAAGCAGCTCCCATAAGGCAGAGAAATTGAAGGAAAAACCAGGGGAGTGAGATAATGTTAATTGGATCCTTGACATGTTACCATTTCCTGCTGAGCCAAGTTTCAGATAAGACATTTGAATGTGGATAAAATGTGATAAGCTAGTTTTGGATGAGTTATACAGAAATTACATTTCCTCATCTATCTACATATCATTACACTTTACCATTAAAAACACTTGGTCTAGATGTATCCACAATTTAAATATTTGAGAGCTTACTACAGACTGAAGTGTTACATAGCCTCAGATTTCTCACCTCTACCACAAGCTTCTTGAGGAACCTGAAGGAGCTGTTAAAAGCTAGAGTGAGTTGTGTCAGTGTGTGAAGACATCTATGTACCATATTAAATACAGCTCTGAAGTTCATCTCCTACCTAGAGAAATTCAGTGATGAGAGGGAGGGGGACCTCATGAGAAATCATTCAGAGGATCAGATGCTGGATGAGAATCAAAGGAATCATCTGCAGATCAGCAAAATCATTTGTAAAAGATAACCACTTTCTGTGAATACTTATAACTTTGGAGAAACACTACATGCATTATAAATCAATGAGGATTTCTTTTCTGAACAGTAATGATAATGAAGCTCAGGGTGGGATTGCTTTGTAACTCACCTTAGCCTGTAAAGAATGGGCCTGGTGAGCTCTTATGCTCAAACTCTTTAGAAATGAGTCTGTGGATTTGTTGGGGCATGGATCCTAACTAAAGTAGGATTTTGGTTCTTCATGTATGAAAGCAGGAATATCCAATGAATGTTACTTATCCATTACACTGCCTACTGGTTTTAATACGTCAGACTAGAAAAAAATATTTTGAAGGCATCAAGGGCACCTATTATATATTATGGGATATCATCGTGTATTAAATCACAGCCTCCTTAAATCTCTTGAAACAAAACTCAAACTCTTTTGTTTGACAAAACCTCTATCTTTTCTC